GTCGCCTTTCAGAAGTCATCCTTGATGCTTGTTGGATGTACTCATACCATCCGTTCATCGTTGTAACCCCCGTAGGAATTGTACTACGGGAGTGTGGCTCGCTGCTAGCTGATAGGATTAAACTTCGGATAAGCTTTGGATACGCGACTCTCCTCCTTCTTGTCTCTCTTTCTTTCTTAATTTCTTATTTCTTTTCACTTAACCGCTATTGATATGGCTGCCCCTCTCCCTCCTAGAGGTTGCTTCACGTGTGGCTCTCTGCATCACTTTTACCGGGAATGCCCGCGGCGAACCGGTGACTATCGTCCTCCGGCCACGGGGGCGAATGCTGTTCCTATAGGTGGGACAGTACTGGCGCTACTGGCACCGGCTCAGAATGGTGGTTCCGCGGCTTCTTTTTCTACGGACAGTGGAGTGGGGGTACGAAGCAATGGATATTCGAATTATGGATATCATGCTGGCGGTGGTGCTCCGAGGCCAAATTTTTAGAGGAATAATCAAGAGCGTCTCGATACCATGTACAACAAGTTTCTTGCTGACCAGGAGAAAGAGACTAAGAAAAAGGAGGAAGAGGAGAGGTTAAAAAAGCAGAAGGAGGAAGATGAACGGAAGGAGAAATGGAAAAAGGAGAGACAACAATTAGAGTCGGAGATGGGTGAAAGAATTGACAAAAAACTTGAGAAGGTGTGTGAGGCTGTTAAAGTGAATAGGCAACCGGATGCGACTGGGAGTTCAAGTATGGACAACGAATTGGCCAAGCTTAGACGTGAGAACGAGGACCTGAGGAAAGCGTTGCTTGGTGAGGGTGAGGATGATAGAGTTAGGAAGTTACAGAAGGAGGTCAACGACTTAAGGAAGCAGGTGTTGGACAAGTCAGGGAGGGATGATGAGATGACTGCTTTGAGACACGAGATCGAGCAACTTCGGGAATCTACAGTTAAGGAGCAAGAAATTGTCGGGCTCAAGCGATTGATTGAACAGTTGAAGACCGAGACTCTACACTGGAAAGATGAGGCTCTTAGGTCAGGTAACAAGAGAGGCAACATCGTGGTGAGCACACCAGAAACGAGTACGAGGCGAACGCCGAGAGCAAGATGGACAGGCGGTGATGCTACACCAGAGAGTAGTTGGAGAATGGAGTACAAGAAGTTACAGAGTATGAGACGGGTGGATTCCTTGGAGGTTGAGGCTTTGAAGAAGAAGAAAGCGGAGGCGGAAGCTGAGGTTGCTGCAGGTCGGTGATGAGGGACGTGAAAAGGAGCCAGGAGGAACGAATCTAAAGGAAAGAATGGAGGCGGTCGCTGTCAACAGTGCAAGGAAAGGCAGGAAAGCGACCCCCAACAGAAACGGGGTTAGGGCTACTCCGGCCAAAGAGGTTCAACCTGGGGATGGGTGCACTGACCGAGCTGCCTTTGTGGAGCAACAGAAAAAACAGCTGAAGCAATTGAGGAAGCTCTCGCTCGAGCAGACCTGCAAGGAAGCAGGGTTGAGCATAAGAGGGAAAGTTGACGATCTAATCTGCCCGATCGCAGAACATCGTGCAGAGTTGGCCTTTGACAAAAATGGGGGGAAAGGACTTGCGGTCGTCATTGAAGTCGAATCCTCCAGAGATGAGTCCACAAACCTGGCAGATGATACCTCCAGTCAGCTCTAGTTTCCCTCCCGAGCGCGGCGTCTTTATGGTCTTCGGCTAATGAGGGTAGACAGCGTAGGAATGCTTTTGTGGGTGACCGGGCGTCTGGATCTCCATTCTTGAGTAAAGGTAAGGGGGGTGACGGGGTCCTGTGGATCAGAGATAAGAGTTTTAATGCTTATTTTCGATTGACTGTTATTGGATTAATTCTGCGTGGGGAAATACCATGGGCTGAGAAATTGAGGGAATATGTTTTACGTCTGTTGATTTCGGATTTCGATTTGGAGGATTGTCATGGACCGTTGATTTATGTGCTTATTTCCCCATAGAATCGTCATATGTACGTTGGGTCGACGGGGCGAGATCTGCCAACCCGGTGGAATGAGCATGTCTTCAGGACTCGTAATCTCAAAGTTGTCGGGAACAGGAGGAGGAATCATCGCTTGTATGCCTGGTTGAGGCGTTGTGATGTTGGTAGCTATGTGGCTATTCCTTTGTTTAGATGTTTGGTGGATGATTTGTTGGGACTGGAAACAAATATTATTAAATTAATAGATCCGCATTTGAACAGCCGGGATAGGCCTCGTCGTGGAAAGAAAAAGAGATTGGGGAAGTGTGAAAGGGCTAAGCGAAATAGGAGGAACTGGGTGGGGAAACCCTTGTCCACGCATTTGACTTTCTATTCAACCGTGGGATTGGTGTCTTGCTCTTTGATTAAGATTTTGGAATATTGTTGGGATAAGAATATTAACTTGGTGGGTATTAAGTGTTCTGGGGGATTACGATTGGCTGAGAACTGGAAGGTTCTCAAGCGGAAATTTGGGTCGTCGGTGGTCCGTGTGGGCGATGATGTGGAACTGCTTCGAAGAGCTAAAGGCTGGTTGACTTCTGGGAATCTTCTGTGTTTTAACTCTGTGGTTCTTTTCTGCTCCAAGTCCCTCATTCTTAAACCAACCCTATCTAAGTTGCTGTCTGTGCCCTGCTCTAGGAAGCTGTTGAATTCCTAGGACTTAGGGCTATTGATCTCGGGGTTTTCCGCTATCAGAGGGTTTTCAGATAAGCGGACACGATATTCTTTGCGGTTTATATTATCTGGAGTTATTCGAAGGAGATTCAGAATTAATGTCAGAAGGAGGTTAACGGTTCGAGTTACGTATGATGATCGACTGAGTAAGCCAAGTGTCAGAAGTTTATGCGCAGAGACTATCATGGGAGCCGATGTGTTGTATGAATGGAAGTCTATGGTGGTTCGATGAATGCGAATTGTGAAGGTCAAGAACAAGAGTATTGGTGATGTGCTGTTCGATTTTAGAACAACAGCAAGGGCTGTTGAGTCTGAGTGTACTTGTGGGAAATTCGGGGATGGCTTTCCAAGGGATGGTGTGCATGTATGTTTCAGGTTGAATGATATGCCCGATATACCGGAGTGGCTCAAGAACAGCAAGAACATCCCGCGACCAGGGGGTGGTAGTGTTCTGACTAGGCTTCGTAGTCAGCTTAACAAAGCTCTCAATGAAACTGCGTTTGATATGAGAAAGGTTACTCTGAAGGGAGTCGAGACGTGCGTTCAGACATCAGGATTAAGTGAGTCAAGTGGGTGTATGGTAGAGGAGGTCGAAGCTTGGAAAGGTCGTTTGAATGGGTTGGTTAAGACACCCATCGACCATAATGCAGGTGACACGTTAGTCTGTTGCCCTGTCCTCTACCGAGAAGGGTTATCCAAGTTGTTTCCGAACAATCCTGGTTTTCGTATGCATATGGGGTCTGAGACAATTCTGCTTTCTGACCTGGAGAACTCGTATAAGCAGAAAGGTTTTGAGAGGCTTGCGCGATGGGATCGAAAAGGAAGATTTGGGAATGCTTATGTAATCCCAAAGCACAAGGATGTGTGAAGGTGGCGCCCCATCCACCCATCTTTTTCTGAGTGTGGGGTGAGAGCCTGTCGGAAGGTATCTAGGAGTATTAATCAGATGATATGGGATCTGCGCGTCGGTACACACTTCAATTTGAAGAGTACCGACATGATGGTGAGGGGTCTAGACAGAATCAATGACTAGTTATTCGATGGGGAAGGTTGGCTGACTGCGGCATTTGACATAAAAGAAATGTTTTGCAACCTTCCCCAACCTTCGATCATTAAGGCAGTCGAATGGATTACTGATTACTGGCAAGCAAAGGGCATGCATGGGGTTCTTATCAAGAAGCAAGGAAAGGGTGCTAAATTGCAGAGAGGGATGCAGCAAGTGGGTTGGGACTCAGTAAGCTTTGAGATGATCCGTGAATTGGTGAAATTCGATCTTGACAACACGTACGTAAGAGTTGCTGGGAGGTTGCTTCAACAGATCATCGAAATTCCTATGGGGAAACCCTCCAGCCCCGCCCTCGCCTGCTTGTTGTGCGCACATTCTGAATTTGTCTTTCTGAGCTCTCTGGGAATCGATAACCGTCTGTTTTATGGTCTGCGTCTAATTGATGATGTGTCCATTTTTATTAAGTATAAGTTAGATGAAGCTGGGTCACGGGACAGGGCGGAGAGTCTGCTAAAAAAGTTTGAAGGGTGTTATGATGTGAACTTGACTTTGGAATGTACCAATCGTTCTGCATGCTGGGACTTTCTTGGCTGTGTCATCAAGGACTTTGGCCGCCCGTTCGGGTTGAAATGTGCGGCGGTCCACAAAAATCAGGGAGGAATTTTGCAAGGCATCCGTTTTCAGAATTTGCAGGATGCTTGCTCGTATACGGATAAGCAGCAGAAAATGGCTGTGATTGGGTCATTCCTGCATCGGGCCAGGAGGTTTACAAACATGCCGGGGGCAGAGCTGAGTTTTTTGTTTGCCCTCAAGGTTGAATTGAGATTGAGGGGTTTTAAGGATAGATTTTTTGATGATGTTTTAAGG